AATCAAACTCCCCACCTTGAGGTTGCAAGCCCAGTAATATCCATCCTTTACCAACTTGGATGTGCCGGGGGGCACCGAGGCTCCCATTTTTCATGTCAAACCATGTTGTTGTTTTTTGAATTTACAACTATAATTTCACACATATATATGGCTTATCATAGGAGAAAAGTGAAGTAAACGCATTGTTAAAGTTTCATTTTATTACTTTCTTCTAAAAACAATTCTTACTTTATTACCAATGTAAAAATTTAATTTTTATGTATATATAAAAATAACTAAGAAAATCAAATCTTCTAAAATAATTCTTATCTGATTACATAAATAAATACTTCCTTGTTAACAAAATAAGTATATTAATTTACTTTAATATTGATCAAGCTTTTTGTCTTTTTGAAACCCAAATATTTTGTCTTTTTCCTTCTTTTTGTTAGTTTGTATAGAGGTAGAGAGGGGGTGTTATATATTCTTAGAGCGTAAGATAGCAAAAGTATGGCTGGTGAAGAAAGCTAACAAGTTGGTGAGATATGATGAAAGGGGCTGGACCACATATCTCCATTTTAGGTTGGATAATGCTGCTTGAACATTGCGAATACATTAGGGATGACATTCTCGCGGGCCAAGGGCCGAGGTTGGGATGACTATCCATTTGTCGAAAAAATTTGAGATGCCGACGAGAATTAAAATATTCCAATTTGTCATTCTACTTTTTTTTTCTTAAAAAAAAATTAAAAATAGCATAAAATGAAAAATAAAAGTCGGACCTCATTTGAAACGTGGATATGTCTAGATTGTCCAACGTAACGTTTTCCCATTCTTATGATCAGTTAAGTTCTATGTACATTCTTCTTGACATTTTTTTCTCTGTCAAACTCTAACCAAATGATGTGATGGGGTTCACAGGGGCCTTACAGGCTCCCCGCGCCACTTGTAACAATCGGGATTTTCGTTGTTTTCTCTCCTATTTTGTTTTGGATTCGATTTTTTTGACATTTTACTTTATCAACAATTCTACCATTAGAGTTTGGACGTCCCCTACATGATCCCTATAAATATTAGGCTCTTTTATACAATTTTATAAGTATAAGAAAATAGAATACTAGAAATATATGATCTATTGTAATTTTCTTTTTTCTCCATTATTCTTGAGTCAATAAAATCTCTTAATTTTTCTACGATATTTTTTATCTTTATTATTCTATTACTTGATCTAATACTTCATTATTTGTCATATAATTTCAACAATTCATTTCGGTAGTTGGTTTCATCAAGTGGTATTCAAACAATACACAATTGTTGTATTTTCAACATTACTAACAACGATCCAGACATATTAATATTTCTTCTAACAAGATATATTTTGGTTATTTTATAATAAGAAGTATCAGAACGATTCTGGTATCTTGTTTGTTTTATAACAAATTCCGCCAAAGTCACTGAAGTTTTTAATAATTAAACTAATGATCATTAAAGTTATTAAATTTTTTTTTATTATAGTCAATGACCATTAATTTACTAACCCTATTTTCTAGCATTATCTTGTCCACAATTATGCATATGATCCCTATACCTAACTTCCATTTTTTAAATCATTTTTTATGCATGCGTATGGGAAATCAAATTGAAGTCCACACCCGTGTCCAATAAATAAGGAAAACTTACGTAAAATATCCAATGGTAATACTCTCACTTTCGTCTAGTTTATAATAAATGAACAACTACATTTTAAAGCCTCATATTCTCGTTATCTTACAACGTGGGCCTTGCAATTCTATGTTGTTTAAAACGTAAATACAAAATTATAGCATGATAGATACAAATGCGATAGTTTTTCTTCACTTTCGTTTTTTTAATGATAGCGTATTGGATATTTTTACTAGTTTTTGGTCTCAGAGCACATTGAAGGAGTACAATTGTCATAGTTAGGTGAACTACCCGCAACTACATGTAATAATCTGATGATGTGTTCAGTAAGTGTTTCCTCTCGAGTTCAAATTCGTTATCTTGTAAGGTTGTTTTTTTAAATATCTTCCACCTAAAACTCGAATAATTGCTACAATTTTAAATTGTAAAAAACTCTTTAAAAATTGTTATGATTTTTAAGGTGCCACTTCAATTTTTCATTTTGGTACCTTGAAATTGTAATGAGTTGTCAAAATTCTAATAGGAGGATAACTTGAACTTTAAATCCCATGTCTCAAAATTGTTGTTTGTTCAAAAAGCGTGTTTAGACGGCGCTTACACTCGAGAGACGGATAAAATATTTTGTTTTGGTAGTAAGCGCGAATTAAGCGGTCAATGTTGCGCATCTAGGCACGTTTTATTAATTTCTTATTTTTCCCCTTTTGTCTAGGAGGGCTTTATTAATTTTTTTTTAAAAAATTCCCCCTTTAAAAAAAATATTTTATTTGACTTTAATTTTTTAATTTTTTCCCCTTTTTTTAAAGGCTTTTATGTGACTTTAGTTTCAAAATTTTAAATGATTTTATCTGCACAAAAGTAAAAAATGACACTATTCGATTAAAAAATAGATAACATTTAAGCTACATTGCTATTTTTATTACGTATTTATGATTTTGAGGCTTATCGTATTGTTGAAAATTTCGAAAATATGTATAAAGTTCTTATAAATCTATTAAATAGAACTTATTTAATTGAAAGTTGAAATTATAAAAAATAGTCCAATTTTTACATTCTTCGATAATTGACTAATTGAAGAAATTATAAAGTAATTATAGTATTTTATAATTTGAGACGTGTTGTATATATTATTTTGATTATTAAATGATTTTTAGAATGATTAAATATATAAAATAAAAATAATTAACTTTTTATACGTCTAGGTTCGCCTAACTCGAAGTTTGATCTCTACACTTAACCACGCTTTGTGATTTTTAAAACAATTCTAAAATTCTTAATAATGTAAATACAACAGGATTCTCGAAGCTCTTGAAATTAATTTAAAACGAGCCACTCTAATGAGACATTTCTCTATTTGAATTTTCTCGAAGAATGTAATATGAGGAGAACCAAATTTCAACATCAATTACGAACGCATTAATTGCTCCTACAGGAAGATAGAGGCACTTTTACGGAGGTTGTCAATGAATTGGATTTTGATTCAAATCCAATGAAATTAATAAAATGTGAATTTGGGGTCTCAGTTCGATAGTATTTTTATTGACAAATTACAATAAAACTTTGACAAAAAGTAGAGAACACCAAGATTTTGTCTTAAAGATCCGAATGTTCAGTCAAAAAGCCTATTCACCACGTTGAGCATCCACAATATCGTGATTAATGCTCTAAATTCACTAGTACAATCAAAGCATAGACGATTAATTGCCACTACTCAAGGTATCAATTAGAAAAAAAGCCCTCAGAATACAATTTATCCTTGATCCCTCTTCTTTCACAATTACACCAAGTAACCAGAGGTTATGGCTCATCAAGAACAAATGAAGGACCATCACAACATTCTATTTTACAATCTCAGTATTTAACATCATTTAACCAAAGTCGCATAACCAAAACACGAGTATGCACAGTGATGAAGCAGCCGGGTCAGGCTTCCAATTTTATTCAGGCCCTGTTTGGGGCATATTTTTCATCCCAAAAAATGAAATTTGTAGCCGTTGGAGGACCACTTTTCAAGGCTTTTGTGTGATAAAAGTCAAAAATGACGGCGCCCAACGGTCATATTTTTTCTGAAAATGGGCAGCAAAATGGAAAACAAACAGGCTGTCAATCATTGGGCCTAGTTGAACCCAAGTGTGAAAGCCCCAAAAAGGGGTTAAGCACATCATATAACCATTGCTTGACGATACTTGATCAAAAAAGGGTTGGGTTAAGCCCAAAAAAGATGGACTATGAAGATCCACCATCTCGATCAAAATCAGGTATTTGAGAGTAGAATTTCTATTATTCCAAATGTTATCATCATAACCATTTCTTGTAGAAGTAGAACCAATTAGATCGTTTCAAAGATAAGACATTTTTATTTTGTATCTATGCATTTCCAGTTGCGCTTTAATAACAAAATCATTTAGATAATTAATTATGCAAGCAACTGTGAACCTTAGAAACAAAAACGAATAAAAAATGGTTTCGGGCTTTATGTACTGTATATACTGGTTACTTGATATACACATTCGTTGCTTACTAGGTAATAAGACATTGGTTGATGATATGAGAGGGATTAAGCCTTAATTTCGTACTAATTTACAATGATTTACCTCATCGTGTGAGATAAATTCACTCATCTCATACAAAATCGGCTCTTAAAATATCCTATGATTCATTTTTAAACATCCTAACTTTCCTTTTCGATCTGAGTCAAATGCCAAGTCTCCTACTCTAACATTGACGGAAGAAACAAGAGACAAATTGATATAATCTTCCATTGTTAACTTAGTAACAAAGCAGTTAATGTTTCGCGTTGCGTCACTTAAAGAACTACTTTACTTTTCACGAAATTGTGTTTGATTGAGAGTTTCACTTGTCTTCCTCTTCTTGTGCTGATGTTGCGAATAAGAAAAAGGTTTTGAGATGTAACTGATCATCATACTTTACACGAGTAGTAAAAACGCAACAATCATAGGAAATTTTCTATAATGTTTACAAATTATTGATTAGTTGTAGTAATTATCTCTTTAGCTTTGACTTTGTTGTGGCATCATTAGTTTGTCATAATTAGACGTAAAAGTAATAAATAAGAAAATATATTCCTCAAATTCAGATAAAAAAATATTCGAAAACCAATTCCCTGCCCACACATGGTTTGTGTATTTTCCTCAAATTCAGATACTATAATTATGATTCATTTTCAGTATTGTTTAATATTATAGTATTTGTACAAGGGAAAAAAGGTTAAATTGGACACAAGTTGGATTATCACAATTGCCATCAGAACAGATCCTAGAAAAAAGGTGATTGACCAGTGAAAGCATCACTAAGTGGTGAGTTATTAAATTATTAAACCAAAACAACATTTGATTAATTTATTATTTGGCTCTGTCCTTAATCACATCAAATCCCATCTCGGTTGGATCCGTAGCTTGCACTTCATAGTGGATCCCATCTAATGCCCTCCTTAGTCCATCTTTCGACGTTGCGTAAAGCATTTTGGCTCTAATTCTTGATGCCGATGGTGCCCTAAAATATACCATATAATTAATTCTAAGATCTAAGCAAAATTAAGAATTTAACAGGGTACTGGAGGGAACGGACCATGCAATGAAGAAGATCTTGCTTTTGCGGCAATTATCGACTGTAACAAAGTCGAAATCAAACACAGCATATCGGCAATCATCCTCCGGGAGGGATGCAGCTAAATCATCGTAACCTTCACCGGCACCACCAACTTTGTCCACCGTCACCAGCTTCGATCCCTCGTCAATCTTGAACACGATGTACCTATGAACCTTCTTCCACTTCATCTCCATGAATGAGTTCTTGCATTCCTCCGTCACCCACATGCCGGTCGTAGCCTACACAACAAAACCATGATATATAAAGAAATCAGCTTCCATATGCGTGTGTTTGTGTAGCAATTGAGTGTGTGCGTGTGTGAATATACCATCTTGAAAGCCATAGCCATGGTGGTTGCAAATTAGGATGGCGGTCAATTTCTTTGCTAAGAATAGTGATCAGGGTGGGGAAATATTATGATTGCGTTGAGACTTGATGCTACGATGCTGATGCAGAAGCAGATCAAGTTATATATATAAGATTTGGTTATTGAAATGCCACTGAAACTGCAAAATATTACAAGTTTGTCCACATTAATACAAATCTATGTATATCGAATTATTTAATATTCAAAGATACGCTACATTACGTAATACTGTCTAATTTAACGTATTAAACATGTCTAGAGCCGTAAAGCACATGGTAAAGAACATGGCAGCCATACCCAGATCCAATGGATAGATAAAAATTGGTAGTTTGACTGTAAAAGAACTTTGTGCTTTCATATGTATGGCCTGGCCACTCAGAACTTTAGCAACTAAAATAATAGTGGCACAATTCTATGCTGCAACTGGCAATAGTAATTGATTGCATTTGGGATTCTTGTTGCCTAATTCTTCAACGCTGATTTCATAATTTCAAGTCTCCAGCTTCAAAAATTCAGCTTGCTTTATAGTTTCTTGAATTTTTATTTTACTGTAAATTGTTATTTTGACAGTTGCATGATCTACACACTCTCATACACTACTCTGAAACAGATGCTAATCCAGTAAATGATCCCTAAAAAATTTCTTATGGTCGGCCCCTATACCTCGATGGCTTATTTGGTAACGTAAAATGTATAACTACTATAATCGATTTTTTACAATTGCCTAAAGATGTATGATTTACAAATTTCGTGGCATTAACAAGAACTCAAAATAAGCCTAAACTAGGAGAATTCAATGTACAAATTTAGTCTTGCATTGGGATGCAGATACAGTGGTCCTATCTCTCTCTTGAATTTCCTCAGTAGTCTTGGCGTATACGCAAGGGGGAAGTAATGGTTCATCCACTCGATGCTTTATGCAAATCACTTTTTAACATTTCAAATCCCAAACTTTGAGTTTTCCCAGAAAATTGCCTAAGGAATTTCGGTACAGAGAATTATCTTAATGTTTATCTTATCGTAAAATAATGTTTCAGATTAGATATATTATTAATATTTGATGTAACCATTCCATGGACAGCAAGAGCATCAAGAAAAAATAGAACTTTTACAAACACTAAAATCTAACAATGTCTATCTAATGGACGTGCATAAGGAGACATGTTGGTCAGGTCCCACAATTAATTTATACTTAAAACTGCATAAATTGCAGTATACTTGGATCACAAAAGGAAAATAATTATGTGGCTAAGATGACTAATATTACCTGGTCTGCGACAGATCACACCTAAATTCCTGTGTACTCTCGACTTTTTGCTGGTGGAAGTACTCAATTTGGTGGTGTAGCTTCATCCTCTCGAAGTAGCTGGGGGTCGAGAGTCGTTAAATGTCATACGCATACGCCCACACGCTCTCCAGCACTAGCTATGCAGCAACTTTCAGAGGAATTTGACATGCAGGAGAGGTGTTGCTGTGCAACTCTTTAATCTCTTTGTCTTTGGCATTATCTACAAATGGCTAAGAGACTGTACCATGAAACACTAGGCGAATCATAGACCACGAGGAACGTCAATCAACATACCCAAATTATATGCTCATCTTTCCTCAAATAAATAATTTCATCTAACCACCAATCAGAGAATGGAGGAACAACATTTCGTAACAGGTTATCCACTGCCAAAATGACGTAAAAACTCACTTTCAATACCAAAGTCCAGTCGGACAGTAAGCCTCGAGACTAGAGAGGGAACTCTTACTAGAATAGGGTTGCTAAAAATTGTCATCTTTAAGCTTTTCTTAGCTGTCAGAACAGAAAAAGAATATCAACTGTTGAATCTTGTTTGGAGCAGAAGCAAGATCAAAAGGTAAGGACATCTAATCTTGATCCTAAAATAGTTAAAAATGACTGCTTTGGAGAATGATTTTGTACCACTACAAAAATCAATTAATAATTTCTCATATAGTGGCTGTTTCGTCCCTTGATGGGGACAGTGACTCAGTGAGTGGACCGACAAATTTACAGTTTACACGTCGGTTAACAATGAAACTCTTATTTTACAACATACTGTGTGACAGCATAAAAGATCTGAAATCATATTTGATAAATAATGCGTCTTCAAAAAAAGATTTCTTATTTTGAGTGACCTTAGACCACGTTGTGTTTTGGGTGAAAGTAGCAGCTAATGCCAAAAATCTGAAGGACATTTGAGAACATTAATTTTAAGAGGTCGGTCTAAGCGATGTAATTCTAATACTACTACCTTTAGTCATAATTTTGTGATCAATAGTACCATAAAAATGAAAGCTTTAATCTTTACTTTAGCTTCCCCCAGACCAGATATCAACTGTTAATCTTTTGTTTAGGACGAAAAGTTAAGAACATAAGTCCTGATCCTAAAATAGACAGGTAACTGATTTGGAGGATATGGATTTGTACTACTACTATTTTTTCTCATACGGTGGCTGTTTCATCCCTTGATGGTGCAGTGACTTCGACAAATTCACAATTTACACTACTGCGAAGTGTGAACAATGAAGCTATTATTTTTCAACATACTGTGCAATACCAAAAATATCTGAAATCTTAAAGCACGTCAGTCATGTTTTGGGGAAAAGTAGCAGCTACTGCCAAAAATTAAAAGACGTTAGAGAACATCAATTCAAGTGACTAATTTTTTGAATCTATATAATACCATAAAAACCATAGACAAACAGCTTTAGCAAAAATGAAAATATCAAATTTTATTCAACAAAGCTCAGTTGTATGTACAAAATAAAAAGTCCTGATGCCTTCAGAGGCAAAAAAAATTAAACCAATTACATAACACGAATTCAGTAGGAAACCAGTACACAATAGGTGGAGTTCTGGAGGAAAATCTAATCTATGATTTCAACGAATTGAAAAGTATACAGAAACCTCATAATCTTCCTTCTATAAACCTCTCATGTACCCAGAACCCCAATCAGCAGTATCCATGTCATAGCATCAGTGTTCTAAGAAGCGTAAAGTATGACTAGGTGCCTAGGCGTAAAAAAATATTTTCTTATTTTTAGGTCGTGTTCGGTAGATATTAAAATTGAAAAACTAGCCGTTATTGTTGACTTTTATTAGACGAGTGAGACCCGGCTATATTTTTCAATTTTAATTGGATTTTAATCTTTACCAACCGAGCACTTAATATTATTTTAATATTTTAATCATTTAGTAATTAAAATAATACACATCAAATATCTAAAATTATAAAATACTATATTTACTTAATAATTTCTACCATTAGTCAATTATACAGTTTTCAAATTTTCAAAATGCAAAAATTAAAATATTTTTTATAGTATCAATTTTCAACTAGACAAATCATACTTAATAGATTTATAGGAATTTCATAGATGTTTTGGAGTTTACAACAAAATAACGAGTTTCAAGATCATAATTACATAATATAGATAGCACCATAACTTAAATTTTATTTAATAATGGCTTATTGGCACAAAATGTCTATACGTTTGACAGTTATTATGCAAAACGTCCTTACGTTTCTTTTTTTACATTTTCACCCTCATTTCAACGTTTCATTGCGGAAAACGTCATTTTTCAATATTTTTCAATGTAAAATGACAAATATACAATCATATTTAAATAAAACAAAAAAGGAAANAAAATGATCAATATACTCTCATATTTAAATAAAAAAAGAAAAAAAATAAGTTGTAATTATACTCCCAAACTTTTTAAAAAGTGCAAATGAGTCCAAAAGCCTTATTAAAAGGCTTAAGCACAAAACGTTCATTTGACATTTATTGTGGAAAACGTCCTTACGTTTCAAACATTTTGTACTTGGCTCAATAGCACAAAACGTCCATACATTTGACACTTATTGCGTAAAATGTCCTTACATTTCATTTTTTTTTGCAATTTCGTCTTTATTTTAACGTTTCATTGTGGAAAACGTCATTTTCACTAAAACGACCAAGATACCCTCATATTTAAATAAAATAAAAAGGAAAATAAAAATAAATAAATAAATTACAATTATACTCCCAAACTTTTTAAAAAGTACAAATGAGTTCAACAACCTTATTAAAACATTCAAACCATCAGCCTTCTCCTCCTCCTCCTTCCTCAGCCTTATCCTCCCTCCACCACCTAAACCACCGACCCCACCATCATTCAAACCATCTCACCTCCCTCTACAATGATGGGGTTGATGGTTGTGGCCAGCATTAACGGTGGTGGTGGTGGTGTTGGTGGAGCTAGTTCCAGGCCAGACATTGACCGGAGGTTGTAGAAGGTGGTGAGATGGTTTGAATGGTGGTGGGGTCTTATTGCAAAATAGTTAAAATGACGTTTTCTGTAATGAAGCGTTGAAATAAGGACGAAAATGCAAAATAAATGAAACGTAAGGACGTTTTACGCAATAAGTGTCAAACGTATGGACGTTTTGTGTTTAAGCCTTTTAATAAGGCTTTTGGACTTAGTATAATTGTAATTTATTTTTTTACATTTTCTTTTCTTTTTTTTTTGTTTTAATTAAAAATGAGGGTATACCGATCATTTTACATAGAAAAACAGTGAAAATGACTTTTTCGAAATGAAACGTTAAAATAAGGACGAAAATGTAAAAAAATGAAACGTAAGGACGTTTTGCATAATAACCGTCAAACGTAGGGACGTTTTGTGCCAATAAGCCTTTATTTAATTATTTAGATAAAGTCATTTTTAACTTTTGTACAAATAAAATCTTTTAAAAACTTTAAAATAAAGTCAAATGAAAATCTTTTTTTTAAAAAAAAAAAATTACTAAGCTAAAGTCAAATAAAAATTTTTTAAAAAGAAAGAGGGAAAAATACAAATAAAGCGCGTCTAGGGAAGACGAACGAGAGGAAGGAAAAAATTCGGTCATTTAGAAATTAAAAAAAAAAACGTCTAAGCGTGAAGGGAGGCATTTTGTCATAGCTTCAATCTAGGCGAACTTTTTACAACA